TGAGAGAGATATTCCTCCTAAACTGCGGGAATACAGCTAGTCCTCGCCTTACAATAGTCCATTTAGTGACAGTTCAAAATCACAACGGCCCTGAAAAAGGTGACTTATGACCGTTTCTTAAACTTACAACTGTGGCCTCATCTCGGTGGTCACATGATCAAAATTCAGATGCTTGTCAATGGGCTCGCATTTATGACGGTTGCAGCGGCCCAGGGTCACGTGATCAATCCCCTTCTGATCAGCAAAGTCAATGGGGAAACTGAGGCAAGAAAGGTCGTATAATGGGGCAAAATTCACTTAGCACGTCTCGCTTAGCCACGGGAATTTGAGGCTCAACTGGGGTTTTTAAGTCAAGGACTACCTACACTGCGAGCGAGAAAACTACACGGATGTAGCCCAGGAAATCAGGAAGGCTGACTCCATTTTTACCGCACCACGAAATGATGTTGCAATGGGGGGGGGGAGAGGAGAAAGGCAACCGAGCATCTATCTAAAAACTTGGAAGGAATTAAATCTACCACCGTCCACATACCCTGTTTCAGCAATATTATCCCAGAAGACGTCATTCTTACTGTGAGATGCACATCCTGAAACCTGATAGAGAGCCAGTCATGTGGACAGTCAGAAATAATGAACTAAAGGCATCAAAGTGGCAACTCAAAATTTATTTTTTTAAAAAACGTTACATTTGCTGGATATGCAGAGAGGATTTTTCTCAGGCACCAGGAGTCTCAATGCTGGGGAAAGTTCTAAACGGTCTTCCCTATCCTATCATTTTAATCTCCTAATACTCATCTGTACATTATTCACGAATGTATAGCGTAGGAGTTGGGACCCCTGAGGCAGCGTCACGCAAGCTACCATTCGTGTTAGGTAGAATTTGCACTTGGGGCTATTCTATTTACTGCAAAAGTTGATGGCGGGTATTAAAAGTAGTATTTTTTTTCCGGCCCCGGCCAAGATCAGAAATAAGACAATATTCTTCACGAGGTGATGCAAATGCCCGAAAAACTGCAACAGAAAGGAAATCATAACATATGGCGCATTATATACACACACACACACACACTGATTTTTAATCTCAGCAATAAGCACCGCCAAGTTGTTACAATGGCTCTATTATTACATCCCTCGGGTTGAAGTTTGGACCCATCTCGCCACTAAAGTCATCTTGCATTTTATCACGTTTGAATTTGGGATGCAACCAAAGAGCAACTCCTGTGATAATTGGCGACTCGGCAAATGATGTCCGTGGATTCGTGTCGTCAGATAGAGGAGGAACACCGAACTGTTCCACAGCTGAATAAACCCCGAACATTTAACCCCTTAAAAGGTCTGCTTTACCAACTTCTTTTTTTTATAAAGCCATTAAGTGAGCAGTCAAATATACTACCTCGATCTGTATTTCTTTTTTAAAGGAATCTCCTAATATTTCCATTACAGATATCTCCAACAGTACATCACTACCCCCTTGTGGATATGAGCTAAAAGCTGTTGATTCCGAATTTCAAAAACTATATTCTTTGGGGGCAATTCTCACCAGGAGTGTTCAGGATTTACCTGTTTCACTCACAAACAGTGATGATTTATCTGTCTACCTTCATCCAAAGACCAACTGAACTCTCACCAGACTTCGTTTACATCGAAGTTTCATATGTTTGGAAGAATGCAACAAAAATGCCTCGGTTTATGTAACATTGTCCTAAAATGTAACATTGCCCTATAAAAACGTAGGGCTCTGTTTATTGACTGTGCCGAGTAAGTAATGGATACGTCATTTTAACAGGAAGCCTTTCCATTCCTATCAAAACTCATCTCAAATCATCTAAAATGGATGCAGGACCAAACTGAAGACAGAGATGTGAATTAGAGCCCACAACTTCATTTTATAAAGGTCCCCCCCCCCCCCCAGCGCTGGCATTCTCTTCAGTGAAACGACACTTCTCAGGGTTTTTTTAAAAAAAGAGTTGTTTTTTTCCAATATCCAAAACAGACACACTTCAAATCCACCGTCACTTTTGACTTTCATTGTCTAGCTTTTTTTTTTTTTCTTTGCATTTGATGCCCCATCGGCTATCTTGACCTTCTGGCCCCATCATATCCAGCAGAAATAGAGGCCAGGAGGTTGTGGTGATGGCTACGATGTCCCTACCGTATTGTTTCCATTACCTTTTTCCAGGCCCTGGTTATTTTCAGTTCCAGCCACCAGCCTCTCTCAACTGCTCTAAAAATGACTCGGGTCAGAACATCTCCTGGACGGGAAACAGCGGAGCCTCCTTCAGCAACCCACGGTGCAAATGTTTTGTAGGACAGCGGCGGCAACTCATGCAAACACGTTCAGGGAGATGTTATAAATACACAAGCGTTGCCCCGTAGGTGAGACGAAAGGAGGCCCGCAAGGACAAATACAAGCCTTGGATTAAGCCCATCTACGACAACGAACTTCTACTGGGGTGGTTGGGGTTTTTTTTTGCCCCATTAGTAAGGACACCTATTCAACTTTGGAGATGGAAATATTGCTCAGTGGGGCAACTTCTGCATACCAACGGAAAAGCACAGGAAGACGAATTTTTCACCATTTTTTTTTTTTTTAAAATTTCAGAAACGAAGCATACGTCACCTTCCAGGCTCTTTCGGACAGAATCTAGTAGGGGCCGCATGAAAAAGAGGCAGGATTGGTTAACCGCCTTTGTGAAGTTTCTCTGATGAGCAGCATCACGTGTGAAATTGCCTTATGCCAAGCTAGTCCTTCAACTCATCTCTATGTTCTCGCCCTGGCGAAGAAATACCCAGTCTTCTGCCTCCTTGAAACCTGCAAAGGCTTTCCCAAAATCTCTAGTAGCCGAAGGGATTCTTAACAGGTTTGCAGATGGCAGGAACTCAATCCAGGGCCATCAAATGCCCGTTTTAAAAGCTACACCTACAATGGCAGCTCTCACCCTTTTCCTTCCTTCCACCACCACTCCTCGCCTCTGAAGCCCCTGAACAAGCTGACCCTCCACGCTTACAGTGTGCACAGATACCTTCGGGAAATAGGTTCGACCCTCCACGTAAGACGTGGCAAAGACCACCGCTACCTTGCCAAAAAGTGAGGTGCGCAACTAGAGGCTACCTACGGTTCAGCAGTATTTAGGCCACACCGGCAAGGATTGTTGGCATGTGTGTGGGAGAACCAACACCGCGGTGGCTGGCTGGCTCTCGGGGTGGCTGGGAAATGGAGGCGCCATCAACCGTGACCGTATATTGGTCCTCTCTCAACTATTTACAGCCGGAAACAAGAGGCAGCCATAAAACCGAAGGGGTCGGTCCCTGTTCTCTTTAGGCTTATGCTCTATGGACAGGGAGGCGGGGGAGGGAAGGAAGGAAGGCGTTAAATGGAAAGCACTGAATGTAGGCCAGTCATGATCCCAAAATCCTGTCTGGGTAGCTTTATACGTATATATGCATGTGGGTGTATGTATACGTGTGTCTGGATGGATAGATGGATGGATGCAGAGAAAGAGATGACAAGATACAGATAGGATATATGAACAGATTAGATAGATAGATAGATAGATAGATAGATAGATAGATAGATAATGATAGATTATAGATGGATGGATGGATGATAGAAGATAGATAGGTTAGGTAGGTAGATGATACACATAGACAGAGAAAAATGAATGGATGGATAGATGATACTGAGATTTATAGATTATAGATATGGACAAATCAACACACACATATCTATACACACATCTACATCTACATCCATATATACTCATGTATGCATGTATCTCTAAAACACGCACAAGGCTGCATCAATGTCAATCTTTTCCCCTTCTCCATCTAGGAAGGCACGTCCAACCCCGGCTTATTCCTGCACAGCTCAGGCTTGACAGGCAAGCACCAAGCGCCACCGACCCCAAAAGAGGCTCAGAGGGATTTTTTTTTTTTTTTTAATCAAGAAGGGACCGTTTCCATCCCACTTTGGCTGGCCATTTTCTTCCCAGCTCCAGCAGGCGCAGCGCCAGCCGGTAGTTTCCCTTCCCCCCCCTCCTCCGCCTCCCCTTCCTTCTGAGCCCCCCTCCCCGAAAATCCCTTCCCCCATCTTCTTCCCACCAGGAAGTGCCCTGCTTTCCCTCCTCCTCCTCCTCCCTCCCTCCCCCCCACCCCGCCCCTCCACATGCAGACCCCCCTCCTCAACCTCAGGGGGAGGGGAGGGGGTGTTTCCCATTCCTCCTTTTTCCCCCCTCCCTCCCTCCCTCCCTTCCTCCATCCTCGGGTGACCCCTGCAGGCGGCATCCCACCCTCTCCTCGGCCAAGCCAGGGGGAAAGGGCACTTTGGGGGAGGGGGGGTTGATGGGAGGGGGCTGCCCCTCGCCCTTTGGCTGAGAGGGACCCCTTCAAATATCCACCACCAGTCAACCCGGGAGGACTTTCTGGGCGGATGGAGGGGAGGGGGTTGGAAGAGGAGGAAGGAGGGTCTCTCGGTCGCCAGGCAACGACGCCGGGCCGCCGCCCCCCCCTCGCGAGGGGGGAAAAGGAGGAGGGGCCTCTCGTCGGCCCCGCCCCCTCCCCAGGAGGGCGCCCGCGCCCCGCCCCTCCCAACTTTCGGGGTCCCGAGGCCTCATAGATTTCCCCCCCCCCCCCCCCCCCCCCTCCCTCCCCTTCCCCCCTCCCCCGCGAGGAACGAGAAGGGCGGGAAGGCGAGGAGGAGAAAGGAGGAGGAGGCAATTCCGGAGGGGCCGCGCATGCGCGTTCCCGCCGGTTTCCCCTCACAGCCCTTCCAGTCAGTCAGTCGGTCGGTTGGTTCTCCCCCCCCCCCCCCCCCCCCACCACCTCAGAAGGCGGCCCCGGCCGGCTCTCCCCGCTCACCTTCCGGCTTGTTTTCGGCGGCCATTTCCCCTCCGCGCGCCACATCCTCCTCCGCCGCCTCCTCCTCGCGACCAGGATCCAGGCAGGCGCGCGCGCTGCTCCCGCCGCCGCCGCCGCCGCTGCCGCTGCTGCTGTCGCCGCCTCTCCCGCTGGCCCCGCCCCTTCCTCTCCTCCGTTTCCGGTTCCGCTCCCGCCTTCCCCCCCTCCCCGGCCGGGCCCGTAACCGGCTTTTCTTCCCTCTTCTGTGGCTTCGGGCGGCCGTTGCTTCCCTCGGGAGGCTTGCCTTCTTGCCGGTTTCCGCCGCCTTTTTTTTCCGGCCTTCTTTCTCGTCCTCCCTCACGCTCCCTCACACACGCCCGCGGTTGCCATTGGACGCTCGGCGGGATGGGCGTCGAGGTGAGCCAACCGGCGCTGGGAGGAGGCGGGCGCGAGGAGAGGATGGGCCTTGACTGGCAAGCACGCCGGCTTATGGACGGGTGGACTTGACAGGTGGGCGGGGCCAACCAAGAGGGGAGGCGTATCGGAAGCGCCAGGGTAGCTAGGATGAAAGGAGGAGGGGGGGAAACGGGGGAGGAGGAGGGGGAGGCGCTCCTTAGTGCTGAGCGAGGGACAGTAGCGAATCGGAGGTCGCGGAGGGAGACCGATGGCGCGATGACAGCCGCGGCGGCCAATAGGCGGCTGGAGAGGCTCTGAAAGGCGGGAAGAAGTCAGTGACGCAAATAGCGGGGAGCACCGGTAGCGCGGCTCAGAAGAGGGGGGGGCTGTTAGAAAGGAGAGCGCGAGCGCTCAGAGGGGCAGGGCGAAAAAACCCAAAGGGCGATTTTATTGGCTCCCTTGCCTTGACAGGCAGCCGCGCCCTCCTCGGCCCGCTAACCCTAAACAAAGCTGCTGATTGGCCCAGACGCGAGGGGAGCGGAGCTGCCACCTGGAAAGGGCCGGAGCGAATCGGCGGCGCTGATTGGCCAGCGCCTTCTTCTTTTTCCCCTCCCCCTCCCAGGAGGATCCCGCCTCCTGGAATGCGAGTCTCGTGGCGGCGGGCGGACATGCGTGTCATTGGAAGATTCCCCGGGATCCCGTCTTTTAATTGGAGGCTTCCGAGGAAGGGATCACGGACGGTGCAATTCTTTCATTAGCAAGGCAGTGGGAATGCAACTTTGTCCAGCTGATGCACGCATTCCATTGATTGCACGTGTGAACGCGTGACACGCATGCAGGTTTTCTCATTAACACCCTTGTTTCTCTACCATTATTATTATTTTTATTTACTTTGTTCATTAAACATGGAACTCAGTCAACTGAACATTTAAAAAATGCATTTAAAAATTATTATTTACTTTATTCATTAAACATGAAACTCGGTCATTGGAATTGTTATATTTATATTTATTTATTACTTTCAGGTCATGCCTTGATTGCAGCTCTTGATTGCATCCCTTAAGCCAGCAAACCCTGCAAGGATCAAAATTTATAAAAAAAACGGCGAAGACCCGAATTCTTGGGGCGCCTCTGATGAAGGATCCCGTGGGTGGGGATGGTGGGATATATTTTTTCAACCAGCCTTGTCACGAACAGCTCAGGGGTTCTTGGATCAAAGCTCTCGGTTTGCTGGAATCAAGATATATTGCATCGGCAGCGTTCCCACCGTCTATTAAGGAAAGGATCTGAAAAAAAGGAATGAAATATTCTGCTTCGCTGTTATTACTTAAAAAGAGCAAAATGTGACAGAGTTGGATTTTTCCCCCTCCCTCCCCAAATAATCCCACTTTAGTGGAAGGGAAAAATTTTTAAGGTAGTCCTTGACTTGCAACAGTTCATTTAGTGACGGTTGAAAGAAAGAAGGGAACCGGAAAAAAAGGGACGTGACTGTTTTTTTCACACTTACGACCACTGCAGCATCCCCAGGGTCACATGATTAAAATTCAGACGGTTAGTAATTGACTCCTATTTATGACGGTTGCAGTGTCTGCTTTATGGGATTCCCTTTTGCGACCTTCTGACAAGCAAAGCCAATGCATCCACTTAACAGCCATGTTACTAACTTAACAGCTGCAGTGATTCCCTTAAGGTTGTAAAACGGGACAAAGCTCGCTTAACAACTGTCTCGCTTAGCAGCAGAAATGTTGGCCTCCGCGTTGGTCGTAAATTGAGGTCTACCTACAATCTCCAAACGGGTGCATAGCGAGGAAATAATATGGAGCTAATTTTGGGTGACAAAAACGCCACCAGAAAACATTTTTCGAACCTAAAAGTATCTGGAATTTGGCCTTTTGTCACTTTGAATGGCATACGTCATTCTTCTCATCTGGATGTTTCTGTCCCCAAATTATCCAAAATCAAATTAGCACGAACTGAGATTTTTTTCAACATTATCGTTCTATTTCCCCTGTTGCCTTTTTTTTAGAAGATCACCGTAATTTGTTATCCGAAAGGTGGCTGAAGTTTCCCCCCCCCCTTCTAATGACATTTCCAATTCTTAATGAGTTTAGTTTTTGCAATAGTGATTGCATAAATACCGACTGATTGCAGTTGGGGCAATATATTGATCTTATAATTAGATCCTCTCCTTGTAATTCCCTCTTTGATAAACACAAATTTACCCTGGTTGCCTCTAACGGAATTAGTATCCCTAAAAGTTTGTAATTCAAACGGCTCCTTCTCTGACTTTAGCAAGTGCTGGAAAAACCATTCCACACAACCCAAGTGTCATTATTACAATGCGGTTTCTCTAGCGACAACAACATATCCGGCTTAACTTCCTATAGACTTTTACTCATTCTTTTCTTCATCATCTTTGATTGATCCAGTGCCATTAAGCCTCCGTAGCAATAGTTAAATTATCCATCTCCCAAACCTCCCAGGTTTATATAAGCCACATGGATAAAATGGACAGAATGGGGGAATTTGCACAATATAATTTGTACTTGGTAACAGCAGCATATCGTGTCCATCAGGGGATGCCACCTGTGAGTCTCCCAGAGTCAGTCTGAAGTCGGGCAGTTCCTACATCGAAAAGAAAGGAAGGGAGGGAGGGAGAGAGAAGGGAAGGGAGGAAGGAAGGGTGAGAGCGGAAGGAAGGAAGGAAGGAGAGGATGGAGGAAGGAGAGGATGGAGAAAGGAAGGAAGGGAGAATTGAAAAGGAAGGAAGAGCAAGAGGAAGGAAGGAAGGAGAGGAGGGAGGGAGGGAGGGAGGAGAGGATGGAGAAAGGGAGGAAGGATTGAAAAGAGGAAGGAAGAGAGCGAGAGGAAGGAAAGAGGATGGAGAAAGGGAGGGAGGGAGGAGAGGATGGAGAAAGGGAGGGAGGGAGGAGAGGATGGAGAAAGGGAAGAAGGATTGAAAAGAGGAAAGAAGAGAACAAGAGGAAGGAAGGAGAGGATGGAGAAAGGAAGGGAGGAAGTTAGGAAGGAAGAAGAGGATGGAGAAAAAGAGGAAGAAAGAGGCAAGAGAGAGAGAGAGAGAGAAGTATTAACACTTCACGAGATCTTGATTCTATCCCTCACTTGATGCAACCAAGAACTGCATTGGCTTTTTTGGTTGAAGTCCACATGCCTTCAAAGTGCCCAATGTTGTTGACCCTTGCTCTAAAAATCTGAGAAGAGGTCCCATGTTTTTGTCCTGCGGTAACTTTGAACAAACGGTCATAAATCAAGGACTCTCTGCCTTATCAAAACTGACTCCATAGCTCCTGGAACTCATTCCCACCTGCCCGCAAGACCCCCCACCCTTCCTCTCGATCCGCGTGTTTTTTTGGGGGGGGGGGGAAGGCCGCAACCTATCTCCTGTTTAGTAGCCGGAAAAAAAGATGTCCTCTTTACAGGAGATCCAAATTCACTTCTCGGAACGCTCTGTTCTGCTTGTCAACAATGCAGAGAGGGTTGATGTTCTCCAGCCGCTAAGATGGAACATCAATTATTTACCGAAGGAAGGCAGCTAAATCTTAAATATTTCAGCCTGAGAATTGTGCTGGAAGAGGAACGGCAGAATTCATGTTCCAGGTCTGTCTTGTCTCTGTTACTTGCTTGATGTGCTCCACCAGTCATTGGTGGACCATGTTGAGATATGATCTTCTCCACGGTCTACATCATAGCCTAATTCCAGATCAATTAACCAGCGGAAGGGCTTGTCCCCTCTTGTCGTGGATGCTCCATCGTTGGAAGTCTTCAAGAAGAGACTGGACAGCCATTTGTCTGGAATTGTATACGGTCTCCTGCCTTCACCTGGGGGTTGGACTAGAAGACCTCCAAGGTCCCTTCCAACCCTATTGGAAGACGGCTAAGAGGAATATGGATGGAGAGAAAGAGGTGGAGAGAAACACAGCAAGAAGGGAAGGGGGGAAAAGGAAGGACAAAAGGAGGGAAGGGGAAGGAAGGAAGGAAGGAAAAGGAGAGAAGGAAAAGGGAGGGAGGGAAGGAGGGAAGGAAGATTGGAAGGTGAGAATGGGAGAAGGAAGGAAGGAAGGAAAAGGGAGGGAGGGAAGGAAGATTGGAAGGTGAGAATGGGAAAAAGGGTAAGGAAGGAAGGAAGGAAAAGGAGAGAAGGAAAAGGAGGGAGGAAAGGAGGAAGGAAGATTGGAAGATGAGAATGGGAGAAGGAAGGAAGGAAGGAAAAGGGAGGGAGGGAAGGAAGATTGGAAGGTGAGAATGGGACAAAGGTAAGGAAGGAAGGAAAAGGAGAGAAGGAAAAGGGAGGGAGGGAAGGAGGAAGGAAGATTGGAAGGTGAGAATGGGAGAAGGAAGGAAGGAAGAAAAGGGAGGGAGGGAAGGAAGATTGGAAGGTGAGAATGGGAAAAGGGGAAGGAAGGAAGAAAGGAAAAGGGAGGGAAGGAAGATTGGAAGGTGAGAAAGAAAAGGAAGGGAAGGAAAAAAGAGGGAAGGAAGATTGGAAGGTGAGAATGAGAAAAGGAAGGAGGGAAGGAGGAGGGAGGGAAGGAGGAGGGAGGGAAGGAGGAAGGAAGATTGGAAGGTGGGAATGGGAAAAGGAAGGAAGGGGAAAGAGGGAGAAAAGGAAAGCAATCATCAGGAAGTGGCAGGGCCTTGAATTTCAGCCTCCTGACTCACTTTTCATGTCTGAATGGCTTTTAGCGTTTCCTGGAAACAACCTTTTTGTGTTAGCTTGGCAACCGTGTACGGAGCATCTTCAGGTGCTTCTTTTCTGTAGCCGAGAGGATTATTTCTCGGGCCAAAAGGACAACAGCCCTTTCCACAATAACATCAAAGAAGCGGCAGAATCGGGTGGGGGGGGTGAAATGCCCCCTCCCCCAGAATAGAAGCAAAGATATCGGAGGAACATTTTGGAACAACAAGCTGACTTGTTGACAATTCCTCTGGGGAATTCATTTAACGCAGGGGTCAGCAACCTGCGGCTCTGGAGCCACATGTGGCTCTTTCACCCGTCTGCTGTGGCTTGACAAGGCTCTGACGGGGGGCTTTGCTGAAGTCAGGATAGGCTCCTCAATTAAAGGTGCTCAGGTGCCATCCCTCCTGCTATTCTGTTATTTTATTCTGTTATTCCTCCTTGAAAAACCCATGTTGGTTTCTTCCAAGCAATGCATTGATTTCCACAGACTTTCCAAGAGGTTTTCAAGCAAAGATTGGACAACCATTTGGCCAGAATGGAATAAAGTCTTCTGCTTGAGCAGGGGGTTGGACTAGAAGACCTCCAAGGTCCCTTCCAGCCGTAGGACTCTATGATTCTATTAGTGGCCTTTGTCCAATGATGTGCACCTTATCACTATCCGTGGTCCTGAAAGCCACCGCAGTTACTTGTGGAGCTATCTGTGGTCCTGAAAGCCACCGCAGTTACTTGTGGAGCTATCCGTGGTCCTGAAAGCCACCGCAGTTACTTGTGGAGCTATCTATGGTCCTGAAAGCCACCGCAGTTTTGTGACCACTCAAGATATAGTCAGGCACGGGAAGGGTTTTTGTGGCTCCCGGTGTTTTCTTTTCTGTGGGAAACGAGTCCAAATGGCTCTTTGAGTATTTAAGGTTGCAGACCCCTGATTTAACGTTTCTCTGCCATCCAAGAGCCGCCACCGTCCTTGCCCAAGGAATATTCTCATTTTCTTTCCAAAAATCGTCTTTGGGTAACATCTCACACCCTTCCTGAACCCACCACTCTTCTTTCTCCTCCTCCTCCTTTTTTTTCTCTTCTTTCTTTTCCCTCGCTTTCTCTCTCCCCTTCTGCAACTAAGGAGAAATTTCCTGGCAGGGAGGAAAATTTTTATTCCCCCCCCCCTCCCCAGACGGAGACGCGACTGTCTAATGTCCCATCCGTCCATCTGTCTCAGCCCTCAAAAATCCGATTTGTTTTCCGCCCATCAATATTTGATCGGGACGTATTTCTTCCTAAATTGGAAATGCGGGGACTATAAAAGGAGGTTCTTGTAATGGAAAATCTCTTCCTGCCGGGGAAGAGGGGAAAAAAGGGGGGGTGCATTAAGCCAGCAACCCACCCACCCCGAAAGACGAGTTTTAAAATGTCAGGTATTCCTCCAGGCTGCGGGAAGGAAAGACAGATTGAAGGAGTAAAGGTAACCCAGTTCCAATTTCCCACAGAAATTAATCCGAGGCAGCAAAAGGCTTCTGCGGTGGCCAGAAATCTGATTTAATGCTTCTAGGGCCCTCGGTTTTTTGGTTTTAACTGTGATCAACTCCCACAAGCGCTTAGGTTGTGCGAAGAATTAATTTTCTTTCTCCTGCTCCTTGTCTCGAAATCTGATTCTGGAAACGGGTAGGGAGTCTCCGGGAGGTTGCAAGCAGGAGCTTCGGCATAGCAGGGATTGGCCATAGTGTCCCTATAGGAGGGTCGGTGCGGGGCTAAGCCCCCTCTGCTTTTTTGCAATTGCTTCAGGGGAATCCCTGGTCTGGTTTCAAATGGAGACCCCCACCCCTCTCTCTATCTTATCTATCTCTAAATAGAACGGAGAGAGAGAAGTAAGGGAAGGAGAAAAGGAAGGAAGGAAGGAAGGAGAGAGAAGGATACAGAGGGAGGGAGGGAAGGAAGGAAGGAGAGAGATAGAAAGATAGAAGGCAGAGAAGGAAGGAAGGAAGGAAGGAAGGAAGGAAGGAAGGAAGGAAGGAAGGAAGGAAGAAGAGATAGAAAGAAAGAAGGCAGAGGGAAAGGGAAGGAAGGAAGGATAGAAAAAGAAGGCAGAGGGAAGGAAGGAAGGAGAGATAGAAAGAAAGAAGGCAGATAAATATAGATAGATAATTGATAGAAGATAGATGATAGATAGATAGATGATAGATAGATAGATGATAGATAGATATGGATGGATATAGATATGCAGCTAATAAATTTGATAGATAGATGGATAGATAAGAGATAGATATATAAATATAGATAGATAATTGATAGAAGATAGATAGATGGAGGGAGGGAGGGAGAGAGAGAGAGAGAGAGAGATGGATGGATGAGTGATGGATGGATATAGATATGCAGCTAATAAATTTGATAGATACACTGCCAATAAATTTAATAGACAGATAGGTGCACACACATATATACATATATACATACAGGCATATAGTCCTGATAAGATTTGTGATAGACAGACTCGTTCATTCATTCATTCATTCATTCATTCATTCATTCATTCATTCATGTAATCCTGGTTTGATTCGCAACCAATCCTGGTTATGTATGTATATATGTATGAATGAATAAATAAATAAATTACTGTAAATAAATAAAGGTAGTCCTCAACTTACGACCACAATTGAGCCCAACATTTATGTTGCTAAGTGAGACATTTGCCCCAATTTACGACTTCCCTTGCCACATTTGTGAAGCGTACCACCGTACTGGCTAAATTAGTCACACGGTTGTTAAGCGAATCTGGCTTCCCCATTGACCTTACTTGTCAGAAGGCCCTCAAAAGCGGATCACACCTTGACTCCGGGACGCCTGTAAATACGAATCAGTGGTCCAGCATCCGAAGGTAAATTATGTGACACCGAGGGGGGGTGGAGGAACGCTGCAATGGTCCTAAGTGTGGGAAAAAAAAAAACAGCCATAAGTCACTATTTTCAATGCCCGTTGCAACTTTGAACGGTCACGAAACAAACCGTTGTAAGTCGAGGGCTCCTGGCAAATACCCTGATTCTTTGACGAAGGGAGCAGAAGAAGGCGACTGGAAGGAAGGCAATTTGTGGTCCCAACGTCTTTGGGAATCGTCCATGCCTCTGAGCAGTCGTCGGGAGAAATGTGTGAATGGCAACTGTCTCTGAGAAGGTTTGGAAACTCCCTAACGGTTGCGGTTTCCTGTAGTGCCTTGCGAAGAGCCAGAAAAATCCTTCCTTTGGCTCTTCCTCTTGAGAAAGTTGGTCTTCCCTGGGATGCCAGCTCTTGTTTGCTTAAAAACCCTCCAGCCTCGCTTGCCAGCGTCTTCCCATCGCTCAGGGGTGGCTTACATCCGTGGAAAGCCACAAATCCTGCGTAAAAGGCACAGAAAGCAACAGCAGGAAATATCAGAAGGGAGCTGAGCAGATGAAATAAATGCCTGCCATTAAAAAAAAAAAATCCTCTGCTTGACAAGACACACACGCACACACACACACACACACACACACACACACACACACACACACACACAGGGGCTGGCTCTCCGGGAGATCGGGAAAGATTTAAGCAAGCGAGGGTAAAATAAATAGGACCGAGGGAGGGGACATTGCGAGGGAAGAGAGCATCCCACAGACACTGTGAAGGATTTTATTCTTGGATTCATTATTTAGCCATTTGTCTGGCATGTTATAGGGCAGTGATGGCGAACCTTTTCAGTGTGCTGAACAGGGAGCGCACAACACGCTTCTGGGCCGCAACTTGGAAGAGGAGCTACAAAATGTGGGCTGGGGCCACAAAACATGCGTTTCGTCAACATGGCGTCAGGCACGAAGAATCGGGACTATACATTACGTTCGGGTCTGGTATTCACTTACCTTCGCTACCAGTTCGCAAATGTGAGCGCATGTGCACCGTCACTTTGCTAGTACGCACCACTTCCGCGCATGCGCAGGACCTTCCGCACATGGGCAGAGCGTCAAAAACGGGACATGATGACGTCTGGGCAGGTGGGCGGAGCCTCCCTCACCGCCGTCGCTACCGATTCGCCCAAACCGGCTGAATACCACCACTGGTTACATTGCAGTTAAGATTGATTGCCAAAGCCTGTACCCAGGAATCTGGTTCATTAACATTCAAAAGTAAATTGACGCTAGACAAAGAGCCGGTGGAATTGAAGAATTTAACAGTAATAGTTGGAAGGGACCTTGGAGGTCAACTAGTCCAACCCCCCTTCTCACGCAGGAGACCTGTACGAGGGATTCGAACCGCCGAACTGCCAACTTTTCTGATCGACAAGCTCAGCGTCTTAGCTGAGGGGTTGGAGCTAAGACTGTTTGTGGGAATATTAAGGATTCTAGGCCGATGACTTGCTTCACTCCACCTCCCAGCTCGGCCCGCTTTTCTTCTGCACTCAGGATCACAATTCATGTTCTCAAGCTCTTTGGGGAGTTTATTACATGCTATGGATCCACAGGATGAGAATCCCTACCAATCTTCTTCTTGAGCTCCCCTCCCCCTCCCCAAATGTTCCCCAAAGGAGTGTTGCATACAACATAAAGCTACTAAATAACTCTGGAATTTGGGGGCCAATTCAACCCTCCGGGGTGGTTGATTGGAATCCTGGGGTGGGTGGGGGGGGAAAGTGCTCTCACAACGGCTGCCGTTTTCCATTTTATCTATTCTTCGTACCCTTTGCAACTTCGAGGAGGGATGGCAGGAAGCAGTTGTTGGAGAAAGCGTGATTGTGGAAATGGATTCATAGTGAGGGAAAAGGAGTGTGTTATACCTTACACGTGCCGTGTATGCTCCTATACCTGGGATGGCGAACCTATGGCACGGGTGCCACAGGTGGCACGCGGAGCCATATTTGAGGGCACACGAGTGTTGCCCTAGCTTAGCTCCAGCACACATGTGCCCGCCGTCCAGCTGATTTTCGGGCCTTCCGGGCCCACCGGAAGTTGGGAAATGGGCTGTTTGTGGCCTCCGGAAGGCCGTTTTTGCCCTCCCCAGGCTCCTAGAAAACCTCTGGAGCCTGGGGAGAGTGAAAAATGGGCCCACTGTGCCATCGCGTGCCAAAAGTGGGAGGAGCGTGGGGGGAGCACGCGCATGTGTGCGGGAGGGCGGGACACGGGTGGGCATTGAATTATGGATGTGGGCACGCACGCGCACGATCTCCCCGCTCTCCCTCCTCCACTTTTGGCACACGACGGCCAAAAGGTTAGCCATCACTGTCCTATACTGTGCGTGACCCTCTTAAGCGTGAGCTGGGACAGATCGGGATTGTATATGATACGCAAGTTTAATAGCCTTAATCTCTTAAGTCCCTCCTGCTAACCCGTTGACTATATTTCAAGACTGGGGAGAATTCATCTCATTAAGGGGGGGCAGGGGAGGGACTTCCTGTGCACACACACACACACCCTTTTGCTTCGGGAGATTTGGGCAATGAGAAATTGCTGCCATCTGGGAGATAGTAAATCTGATTTTTATTTTGATGCATTGCTTTGGTGTTCTGGTGTTTGCTGGTCTGGAACATTAGTCTGTAATTATGAAGCCTGAAAGGACTTGCCTTTTAATCTATCATTTTGCAGGCACTGTGATGATCTCTGTATTTTTTATTATTTATTTTTTTAAAGTTTAATGCTTGGTGGAATATCGAAAGAAGGGATGGGATGGCTGGATGATGAAGTGAACGTAGGCTACGTTTTCTCAAGCAAAGTCTGCTGGCTTCCTTCACACACAACACAACACACACACACACACACACACACACACACAGACGAGAACATCCAGCTAATTTTTGAGGCGTTTGAAGCAGAACTCTGATTTTTTGTGGTGCGGTTCAAATTTCCTATGCAGCTGCATTAGCCCAGAGAGTAACGTTTCTCAACCTTGGCAACTTTAAGATTGGGGGGGACGGGACGGGACTTCAACTCCCAGAATTCCCCAGCCAGCATGAGTTGTTCTGACCCATAATGCCTTTTGATTTATGTTGGTGGAAAATCATACTGGTGAGAAGGAAATCAGGCAATTTATATGGTTGGGCTATGGACTTGAACTCTGCTCTCTTGATTTCTGGCCCCGTTACCTTCAGGACTGTGTCACCATAGTTCGTATCCCTTCTTTGACCCATGGACAGGGGTGAAATTCAGCCGGTTCGATCTGGATCGCGCGATCCGGTAGGGCCGACTGCGCGAAGCCCCGCCCAGCCGCGCGAATGGCACGACGTCCCTTTTTTTGCGATGATTTTCAGCCTCTGTGCCAGTGGTGGGTTGCTCCCGGTTTGGTCCGGTTCTTGCGAACCGGTAAGTAATGGCGGCGGGAGGCTCTGCCCACCCGCCCGGACGTCATCATGGACGATCTGCGCGCACGCACATTTGCGAATCGGTAGGGAAGGTAAGTGAATTTCACCCCTGCCCATGGGAGCATTTTGTCTTGTGACTTTTACTACATACCTTGTACGGGTGAGCTACTCCGAACTGAACATTGAAAAGCAAAAAATTCAGAATAGCCTCAGCGTAGAGATTCCTTCCTTTCCATTTGAACGCTAACTGTAAAACATGTTACTCGGTAGAAGAGGCTTCTGGCTGGTTTGGTGGCGGTGGCTCCAGGAACAAGCAGAGATTGTGTGTGTGTGTGTGTGTGTGTATCTGGTTGTGCTCTTTGAGTAATCTTTTCCTATTGCCTCATAGCCCAACACTCCGAAGGGAAGTTCAAAGGTCATGCGTTGGGCCAGGAAGGATGTGTTTTGTTTTAAGTGCCAACTCTTGTACGATCCCATCATTATTTATTTTTTTTCCCCGTGCGGTCAAGGGAGCGTGGCGTGTGAGGCAGCCTGTAGCCGGGTTGTTAGGGCCCCTTTTTGGCAACCTCAAAGGAGAGGGTGTCTCTTTCTGCCTTAATTCTTGCATTTTAGGGTAGAAAGGGGGGATCGGATCTCCCATTTCCCACGCGAATAAGCAGCCTTACTCTCCTGGGCTGCAGGGATACTCCTGGAGTTGAGAGTCTCTGTCTGTTGCGCCGTCATTTATCGCGCGCGAACCCATCCGAATCGGGGGCAACCCACCACTGGCCCAAGGGCTGAGAGAGAGAGGGAGAGAGAGAGAGAGAAAGAAGAAAAAAGGAAAAAGGAAAAAGGAAAGGAGGGGAGGGGAGGGGAGGAGAAGAAGAGGAGGAGAGGAGAGAAAAAGAAAAGAAAAGAAAAAGAGAAGAGGAAAAGAAAAAAGAAGAAAAAAGAAGGGAAGGGAAGAAAGGAAAGGAAAGGAAAGGAAAGGAAAGAAGGAAAGGAAAGGAAAGGAAAGGAAAGGAAAGGAAAGGAAAGGAAAGGAAAGGAAAGAAGGAAAGGAAGAATCTGTAGAGCTGGGGTATCTAACCTAGGCAACGTTGAGGCTTTTGAACCTCAACTCCCATAATTCCACAGCCAGCTATGGAATTCTGGGAGTTGAAGTCCGCAAGCCTCAAAGTTGCCAAGGCCGGACACACTTTGCTTTAGAGAACGTGAGCGATCAGAAGCTCTTTAGGCTGTGACTCTTCCCAAGCGCTTCTGGGATACACAAGGATTTGTCTCCGTTTTAACATGTTGACCTTCCTCCCCTGGCAAAGCGGGAACAGCGGCTCTTTTGTCCCATTAAGATAATAACCGTAGTTCACTCAACTGTCATGACTCCCGAGTCAAATAAGGCAGCCTTTGTGAACGGGGACGCAAAGTGTTACAAAGGGATCCTGGTCACTGCAGAAGAAGACCTGTTTCAGATCTCCTGGGGGGTTGTTTTGTTTTTGTCTGTTTTTTTAAATCCTGGTTTTGGCAGTCATGATAGCAGTATTCCAGGATTTGAGGGGCTGCCACAAAGAAAGTGGAAGTGGGGATGGGGGCGTCGTCTTATTTTCCAAAGCACCAGAAGGCAAGAAAAGAAACAACAGATGGAAAATGATCAAGGAGAGAAGCAACTGGGAATTAAGGAGAAACAACAGTGAGAACAACGAACCAGTGGAACAGCCTGCCACCAGAAGTTCTTGGTGCTCCAACACTGGAGGGTTGTTAAGAAGAGACTGCACAGTATGTGTCTGAAATGGTATAGGGCCGTGATGGCGAACCTATGGCACACGTGCCCAAGGTGGCACGCGGAGTCATCTTTCCGGGCACTCTTGTCACCGAACTCACCCGCAACTGCACATGTGCGCATGCCCTAACTGGTGTTCGGGCCTCCGGTGCGCATGTGTGCAATTCAGGGGACCCAGCTGGTCTGCGGAGCTCTCCTGCGTGTGCGTTCGCGCGCATGTGCGCACATGCATAGATGGCATTTGCTTGTGTGTATTGTGTGTGAAAATGGTGTGCATGCGCAGATGGTTCAATTGCGCACGCAGCGTACAGGAGCCGCGTGAAACGTACACTCCTCAGGTGGGGCGATTGCACATGCAGCTGCACGAAAGCTATGGGCATGCACAGATGGTGCAGTCTACTCTACTCTACTCTACTCTACTCTACTCTACTCTACTCTACTCTACTCTACTCTACTCTACCCTACCCTACCCTACCCTACCCTACCCTACCCTACCCTACCCTACCCTACTCCCTTCCCTACCCTACCCTACCCTACTCCCTTCCCTACCCTACCCTACCCTATTCCATTCCCTTCCCTTCCCTTCCCTTCCCTTCCCTTCCCTTCCCTTCCCTTCCCTTCCCTTCCCTTCCCTTCCCTACCCTACCCTATTCGACTCTATTCTATTCCCTACCCTACCCTATTCCCTACCCTACCCTACCCTACCCTACCCTACCCTATTCCCTTCCCTTCCCTTCCCTACCCTACCCTACCCTACCCTACCCTACTCTATTCCCTTCTCTACCCTACCCTACCCTACCCTACCCTATTCCATTCCCTTCCCTTCCCTTCCCTACCCTACCCTATTCGACTCTATTCTATTCCCTACCCTACCCTACCCTATTCCCTACCCTACCCTACCCTACCCTACCCTACTCTATTCCCTTCTCTACCCTACCCTACCCTACCCTACCCTACCCTACCCTATTCCATTCCTTCCCTTCCCTACCCTACCCTACCCTACCCTACTCGACTCTATTCCATTCCCCACCCTACCCTACTCTATTCCATTCCCTATCCTACCCTATCCTACCCTACCCTACTCGACTCTATTCCCTTCCCTTCCCTACCCTACCCTACCCTATTCCATACCCTTCCCTACCCTACCCTACTCGACTCTATTCCATTCCCTACCCTACCCTACTCTATTCCATTCCCTATCCTATCCTATCCTACCCTACCCTATTCCCTTCCCTACCCTACCCTACCCTACCCTCCCCTCCCCTACCCTACCCTACCCTACTCTATCTCTCATTCCATTCCCTTCTCTTCCCTATCCTACCCCATTCCATTCCACTCCACTCAGAGGTTTTGGGGGGTTCATGCTGCTTTTCTGGACCCCTTTCATTTTTAGAGCTGTGTATAACTCTTTCCTCCGCTTCAGATTGCACTCGGTCCCCGGGTGATCATCCTTGTAGCAACAGCAGCCCTTTATAGATAGATCACTGGGAGCTAAGTCTTCCTCTGCTAGCTCCATTCAGTTGCCCAGACTCCATCCCACAAGGGACTATGGGGTCATTAGATGATGATTAGGGGGACGCGGTGGCTCATTGGCTAAGACGCTGGGCTTGTCGATCGAAAGTTCGGCAGTTCAGCGGTTCGAATCCCCAGTGCCGCGTAACGGGGTGAGCTCCCGTTCCAGAAGTTGTGAAAGCTCCATCGATTGGAGGCTTTTAAGAAGAGACTGGACAGCCACCTGTCTGAAACGGTTTAGGGTTGGACTAGAAGACCTCCGAGGGCCCTTCTCACTCCGCTATTCTAAATTCCTTTACGGCATCCGCTTGTTTGTTCCTTCCAAGGGCTGGCTTTTTCGGCACCATCGTGGAGTACGGAGCGGAGCGGAGGATTTCCAAGCACAGCGTCCTGGGGGCCACGGTCAGCGTCGGGGTGCCCCAAGGCGTCTCTTTGAAGATCAAGTGAGTCAGCTGCTCACCTGCCCTCCGTCACTGAATTTCGGCTCGTTCTTGCCAGAGCTGGCAGGGTGGAGGGGCAGAGGTCTCACCTGTGTGTAAATGCCAGGCAGTTGGCATAGACGGGCATTGCCGAAGTCTAAAGCCTCTTTGCACCCCCTTGGCACTGATGGACCGTGCTTAGTTGGCACATCGAGGCAGGAGTGGGGTGGCATGTCAGAGGGGCTCCATTTCCACAATGAGGAATTCATTCCTAGACCCACGGATGCCAGGGTGCAAATCCCCAGCTGCTTTCAAGGAGAAACCATCATTGCAGTGTGCAAAAAAAGCTTGATTTGGAAACTACCTGTCCAGAAATAATATATATAGATATATATGTACAGCAACCAAAGAAATTATAATTCGTGCATGCTAACCTATTTCTTCCTCCTCCTCCTCCTCCTTTCTCCTGCCTTCTAGGCTGAACAGAGCCAGCCAGACATATTTCTTCCCCATTCACTTGACCGACCAGCTCCTGCCCAGCGCCGTTTTCTATGCCACAGCTGGGCCTCTGATCTTCTACTTCGCCATGGACCGGCTGATCATCCAACCCTATCTGCGGGCGCAGAAGGAGAAGTGAGTGGCCCAGAGCTGTGGGGGGTGGGGGGGTCTCTCGCCTAGCTGTGATGGAAGCTGACCACCAGGGCTGAGGGCTGTGGCGTTGGCAGCTTTGCCATTTGTAGTTTCTGGACAGGCCAGGAATGGCTTGGAATGAGGGAGAGATTGAGATTAGATTAGATTAGATTAGATTAGATTAGATTAGATTAGATTAGATTAGATTAGATTAGATTGATAGATAATAGGTAGACAGCCAGAAGATAGATAGATAGATAGATAGATAGATAGATAGATAGATAGATAGATAGATTAGATAGGCAGACAGACAGACAGTCAAGCAGGCAGGCATTGCCAGGGGTCCCCGTGTTCCTGGCAGGCCTCCCCTTCAGGGGCTTGGCAGAGAGGGAGGGAGGGAGGAGCTGATCTGGACCCCACAAAACCCCCTTCTTTCTCGCATTAGGGACTTGGAGAAGCAGCGAGAGAGCTGCGCCAGCGACACCTTCCAGAAGAAACAGGAAGCCGAAGCTGCTGTAAGTCTCCGCCTTCCTTTGAATCCCAGCCAGGAATATTTACAGCCGTGCTTCTCAACCGTGGCCTGTGGACTTCAGCTCCCAGAATTCCCCGTGGCTGCCTGGGGAATTCTGGGAGCCCACAGGTCTTAAAACGTTGAGAAACTCCAGAAGAGATCGAAGTTCTCCTGAATCAGAGAAGTGTGCTATATCTTTCTATATCGGGACACCCTCAACAGCCTGCCAAGCAAACTTAAGCCACAAACAGGCCCGATCGTGGCTTGATAATAACGTCCCAATCCACAGCCTGACATCCTTAACCTTGTTACACAGGTCCGGTTGATGCAAGAATCCGTCCGGAGGATCATCGAAGCCGAGGAAGCTAGGATGGGTGCGTAAACCTGGTTTGTCTCTTTAGCCCTCCCCGCTTGTCAAATGACGAGGGGCAGATTTGTCTCTGGGGGAGGGGGGATGTTCCTTGCTTTGGGGAGGCTGAGGGATAAGGGGGGGGGTGTTGGCAGGCCGTGCTTGGGCCAACACCCCCCCCCCCCACCTGACCCCATTTGCCTTCTCGTTCCTCAAAAGGCCTGATTATCGTCAACGCCTGGTACGGGAAATTCGTCAACGACCAGAGCAGGCGAGACGAGAGAGCCAAAGTCATCGACGTGACGGTGCCCTTACAGTGTCTGGTTAAGGACTCGAAGCTCATCCTCACCGAAGCCTCCAAGGTAAGGACGGTGCCACCACGGAGTGAAGCTAACAGAGAGAGGTTTCCCTGGTTTTCCTTTTTGGCTCAGGGAGAAGGATTCAAAGGGGATTTAGGGGACTGGAGGCTAAAACAGAGAAAGAAAGAACGGCTGCTGGAACTGGGTATGTCTAGTTTCATGAAAAGAAGGACTAGGGGAGACATGATAGCTTTGAGCAGGGGGTTGGACTAGAAGACCTCCAAGGTCTCTTCCAGCTCTATTCCTATTCCTATTCCCATTCCATTCAATTCCATATTCTATTCCATTCCATATTCTATTCTATTCTATTCTATTCTATTCTATTCTATTCTATTCTATTCTATTCTATTCTATTCTATTCTATTCTTTATTCTAATTCTAATTTCCATTCCATTTCATTCCATTTTATTCTGATTCTAATTTCCATTCCATATTCTAATCTAATCTAATCTATTCTTTATTCTATTCTATTCTATTCTATTTATTGTAATTCTAATTCTAATTTCCATTCCATTTCATTCTATTTTATTCTAATTCTAATTCTAATTTCCATTCCATTCCATATTCTATTCTATTCCATTCCATTTTTTCTATTCTACTCTACTCTACTCTACTCTACTCTACTCTACTCTACTCTTTATTGTAATTCTAATTTCCATTCCATTCCATTCATTCTATTCTATTCTATTCTGGGTTGCCGCTCTGCACGAGCTCAGGAGCTCTGTTCTCCCACGGTGGAGCCGCTTCCAGGAAACCCTCGTTTTTACTCCCTGCAGGCTGGCCTGCCCGGCTTCTACGACCCCTGCGTTGGCGAAGACAAGAACTTGAAAGTGCTGTACCAGTTTCGCGGCGTTCTGCACCAAGTGATGTCGGCGGACAACGAGGCCCTTCGGATACCAAAGCAGTGTGAGTCCTTTCGATAAACCTTTAAATTAGTTGGAAGGTCGACTCAGCCTTCCGTCCTTCCGAGGTGGGTAAAACGAGGACCCAGACTGTTGGGGGCAAGAGGCTGACTCTGTAAACCGCTTAGAGAGGGCTGGACAGCACTGTGAAGCTGTATATAAGTCTAAGGGCTAATGCTATTAAATATTGCTACCCCAGCTTAAATTCAATTAGCTTTCTATTATTAATAAATTAATAATAAATTAATAAGTGGCTGCGGTGGCTCAGTGGCTAAGATGTTGAGCTTGTTGATCAAAAGGTTGGCAGTTCGGCGGTTCGAATCCCTAGCGCCGCGTAACGGGGTGAGCTCCCGTGACTTGTCCCAGCTCCTGCCAACCTAGCAGTTCGAAAGCACGTAAAAAAGAAAATGCAAGTAGAAAAATAGGGACCACCTCTGGTGGGAAGGGAACAGCGTTCCGTGCGCCTTTGGCCTTGACTCATGCCGGCCACATGACCACGGAGACGTCTTCGGACAGCGCTGGCTCTTCGGCTTTGAAACAGAGATGAGCACCGCCCCCTAGAGTCAGGAATGACTAGCACATATTATTTAAAAGCATTAAAAAAAAAACATTAAAACACGGATCGATTATAAGATATCCCTTCTTTGTAGCTAGGGTCTGTGTTCGGATTCAGTCCTAGATTTAAGAGTACCGGAAGGATGAAACAGATCCGAACTGGAAGTTCATGAACATTTTATTTCTCAATTATCAAATCAAACTTTATTATTAAGAAAATGTGTATCTGGCAGCCAAACTCGGGGTTACTTTTACAAAGTCAAAAGCCAGTTTGGCTTAGTGCCGTGATGGCGAACCTATGGCACCATATCGGTGGGCACGTGAGCTCAGCTCTGGAGCGCATGCGCGTGCCGGCCAGCTGATTTTCGGGCCTTCTGGGCTCACCGGAAGTAGGGAAACAGGCTGTTTCCAGCCTCCGGAGGGCCTGGGAGGGTGGGGAAGGCCCATTTTTCGCTCTCCCCAGGCTCCTAGAAAGGCTTTGGAGGCTGGGGAGAGCAAAAAACGGGCCTTCCAATCCCACCGGAAGTCGGCAAATGGGCCATTTCCGGCCTCTGGAGGTCCTCCCGGGCTCCTAGAAAGGCTCTGGAGCCTGGGGAGGGTGAAAAAACAGGCCCACCGTGCCATCACGTGCGAAATCAAAACCATAACTTTAGGCCAATCACCAAGAGCCTGGGAGTTCTAGTCCCGCCTTAGGCATGAAAGCTGGCTGGGAGCCACCGCGGAGAAGTCCCTTCTTCCTGGTCCCAGTAGATGGACCTCCTTATGAGAGGAGACTTCCCTGTTTTGGGTGGGTGTAATTTTTCTCCAGGGGGGGGGGGGGAAACGAGGCCTTGTGAGACAGAAGACAGTTGATCTACCACCCCCATGTGCTCCCTCTCCCCATAACCATCGGGCCTATTTTAATTTCTCTTTTATTTTTCTCTTCTTCCTTGCTTGCTCCCCCGACAGCCCACCGGATCGATATAGACAGCTAATGCAGCAGCGGAGAGCGACCGCTGCGACTTTCTTGGATTCGAAACACCTTCACGCCCTTCGGAGAGAGAAAAGAAAAATTAAGTGGCTTTCGCACCCGTGACCCTGGGATCGAACCACAGCCAACTTATTTTACAGGTGCCCAGAGGTACTTTCTCCCGTTCCTCCATCACCCGGGCACGCTGTGGGGCAGGAGGGTCCAGGATCAACCTCCTCCGCCCCCCCCCCCCAACAACCTCCCGCTTGTCAAAGAGGCAAGGTCAGTTTTAACCACTCAGTCGTCCCAACACTTCCGGCACCCTGCATTTCTTGGACCTCCATCTTATTTCGGATTCTCGTCATCTACGGCATGTACACCTGGTTGATCCCGTCTCTCTCTAACCAAGCATCATAAAAACATGAAAAAGAAGGGGAGGGGGGAATTAGCCATCCACCCGATTAGGTACCAGAGACAGGCAGTTTGACCCACTCGCCGCGTCGCTGACCCGAAGGGATCCTGCTAGCCGCCTTTCTCGATCAAACCAGGATCTTCTTTTCGGTGGAAACCAAAGGAAGTTAATTCCACCCTCCGGATCATCCACCCTCACCCGGAAAAAAACAGGCTATTTAAGACTCCCAACCGCTCGCTGAACCGCGAGGACGATAAACCCAGAGGCAAGACTGCGGCTGTCGTCCCCTTCCTTGGCGGGTGGGCTCTTCGGGAAAAAGACCCACCCACCCACCTTGAGTTTCTGAATCGCGGCCCCTTCCCCTTCCGAAAAACCGTCTCAGATGCTCCGACGCCAGAAAACTCTCCGCTTCTCCTCGACGCCGCGAAGGCCGTGCAGTCAACTCTTTAAACAAGGTATTTCTCGCGGATTTTAAGCAAACGCCCGCCGGGCCAGGAAAAAAAAAAAATGGTGTTTTGGTTCACGCACACTTCCCAAATCGTCCTTTTTCTCCCTCGCGCTGCGAACCTAATTTTTTTCAACTTCCAGGGGTTGGGATAATCATCATCGCAGACCCGTTTGGTGCCGGATATTCCAGCCGCTGCTGTTTTATTCCCGTTCGCCGCTACGCGGCACGCCCAGATCTTTGTGATCGATTGAGATCCAGCCGCTGCTGGGGGGTGTGTGGGGGCGTCTTTGGTGACAAACAGCAATGTCGTGGCCCTCCCCTTCCTCCCCTCCCCATCAATGAGCTCCTGAGGGGGGGGAGGCTGTGGGGCGGGAGGGTTGCCTCTGGTTTTTCCTGTAACACCCAAGGACAATAAAAACAACCCCGTTTTGTGAAGGACGGAGTCCGTGTGAGATGGGTGTCTCCCCCCACCCCAAAAAAAAGGGGTTTGGGGGTTGGCACCACCAGAAGAGAGGAAAGGGGGCAAAATTTCTGGGTGGATTTACCATTTGGAACATAGAATCGCAAAGTTGGGAAGGGCCCTCCAGAGGTCATCCAGTCCAACCCCCCTGCTGAAGCAGGAGCCTTTATACGCCACCCAGGTCCAACTGGCTGTCCAGTCTTTCGTAAGACACCTTGGTTGGGTTAACAGGTTGATACCCCAACCTCTTTTTTTCTTTTTTAATTTTACCAACACTTGAATTGACTGCTGGAATTGGGTGGTTGGGGTCTAGTAGTTAAGGCACCAACTGGGAGAGAGTGAGTTCTAGTCCAAGCCCTTGGGCGTGAAAGCTGGATGGGTGACTACGGGCCAATCACCAGGAGACGGGGAGTTCCGGTTCCCGCTTTAGGATTGAAAGTTGGATGGATGACATAGGGCCAATCACCAGGAGACAGTGAGTTCTAGTCCCGTCTTAGACATGAACGTCAGCTAGGTGACCAATCACCAGGAGACGGGGAGTTCTAGTCCCACCTTAGGCAGGAAAACCAGCTGGTTGAGTATGGGCCAGTCACCAGGATTCCATCCCCCTCCCCGCATTCCTAGGGCTCCGCTTGGGAGCCGGTCGTAGCGGGCTGCGCACAACTTCTTTGGGCTTCTCGAGCCTGGGAGCTGCACACATGCGCATCCGCCAGCAAGCCTCATAGAGTTAGCACGAGGAAAAGGGATTTTGCAACCCCGCCTTCCGGTTGCCATGCGAGCTTTGCCACCCAGGAGGAGGATAGCAGCGGGATCCCGCGGGGTGGAAGCGCTTTCTCCTCCACATTCATTCCTGCCGGTCCCCCACAGACCGGCTGGCTTCTCGACCGGGTGGTTATCCGCCTGGAAAGCCGACATTCGCTTAGCGTTGGGCGTCGCCCTCACCAAAAATGGTGGCCGTGGCTTCCTTCCCCTTGGATTCCCTTCACTTTGGCTGGCCCCTCTGTGCCCTGCCCTCTTTGCAGAAAAGCCCAGGGTGCTGGGGTCATTTTGCACATGCTCAGAGGCCTTGGTGAGTCGTGCTCCCCACTGGGCCTGCAAACCTTGGGGTTTTTTCTTGCAAAGACGCCCCCCACCCCTCAAACTTTGCAATCTTGAGTAGCTGAAAAGCATGCATTTTGCCCCGCTTTCATTGCAAGTTGGCTTTTTTTTTTTGGCAAGGGGGCTTATTTTTCCCCCCCCCCCCCGTTGCAAATTGCTACACAACAGCCCTGCAGAGTAGACCAGGGCTGTCCTTTTCAACGTTTTTGTTTTTTTTTTGGACTTTTGCTCATTTAGTGACCCTTCAAAAGCTACAAAAGCACTGGAAAAAGTGACTTATGGCCGTTGACAGCATCCTTTGGCAACACTCATATTTACGACGGTCGCAGTTTCCTGGGGGGGAGGCTGTCACATGTTCTCCTTTTGCGACCTTCTGATGAGCAAAGTCTATGGGGAAGCCAGATTCATTTAACATCCCGTGTTTGGCAAAGATTCATTTTAATTCATTCATTTTAACAACGGTGGTGAGAAAAGTCATAGAATTGGGGCAAGGCTCACGCAACGAACGATTCACTTAGCAACAGAAATTGTGGGCTCCATTGGGGTCGTAAGCCGAGGACTACCTGTAACCTAAAAGAAAATGTTAGTTTATTGATGGAGGGGGGGGCGTGCAATATACCCCCCAATTATTAGGTCACCTGATTTCTTTGTATTATTTTTAAGCCTTTTTTTGGGGGGGAGGGGAAGAATGCAGCTGGCAGACAGCCGAGCGAGGGATTCGAACTCAAGAGACCCCATTCCATAAAACAAATAATTTTAATTGTTCGTTTTAAAAAATTAAAGCTCTTGAACTGAGATTGTACACAGACAAAACCCCTTGATACGCAGCTGCTTCGGGGGCCGAAGACCCAGCGGTTTTGGCTATAGGGACCCCCGTCCCCGTCCCCCCGCCCGCCCGCCCGACGTGGATAACCAAAGAAGAAAAGGAACGGAAAATCAGTCCTGGCTGTAAAGTCCCAAAAGAAACCGGAAATCTCCACCAGGCACAGTAGGGATGGCTGGATGGTTCCCACATTTAAGAGAGGGACCCGAGTGGATCTCGCAGGATCCAGGAATCCACCCTTCTCCGTACAGACTTTTGGGACGTGGCCAAAGGCTTCACACCACAACACTAGAAACGGATCAGGAATGTCATACTTAATTGATCAAAGATTACGGGGAGGGGGGGGGGTCTCCCCCACGCTTTCTCCGCCCCCCGCCCCCATCGGAGGAGACAAAGGCAGTCTCTGAAAGTCCATAGGCAGCACCGACGGCCGAGGTCCAACCCCTCCCTAGCCCCTCCTCGCCCTCATCCCGCTGGGCTGTCCAGCTTTCCGGACCCTCGGCTCGCTCTCGAAGCACCAGTGGGAAAAAAATGATCTTCCTCCCAATTCCCCTTCTTTTTTCAGCCTTGAAGTCCGAAATCGGCTGAATCTCGGCGCTCGGCTGGAGAGGATCAGTTAGATGGGAAGGTTTCCCAATGCACCTGCGGTCCAAATAATATCTTTTTTTTTTTTTTCATCATTCTTGTCCTTCCAAGCTCAGCTCGGGGGATTGAGGGGCTTCCCAAATCTTTGGACTAAACCTCTGCGGGGAAAGAGTCTCAAATTCTACAAACCGTCCGGATCTCCAAATCTGTGCTTTAGAAAAGCGAGAGATTTTTTTTTTTTCCCCTCCCTCTCATCTCCTTTAGAGATCCTTTCGCTGTTTTTGCACCTCAATCCCTCCGCGAATGGGGTGACTGGTCAGCTCCCAGTTATTTCCCTTGGTGCTCCAAAGACAAGGAAACCGGGAAGACCCTCCCAGTCCCTCCCCCCCTTCGCCCCAACTTTTGCAGCCGGGGATCAGTTCTGACTCCAGCGGGAAATCCGGCGATTCGGAAGATCGGCGGGCCTGGGGTCTCGCTCGCTCGCTTCTCCACCCACCCCCCCCGGCCCTACCGACTCCCAAAACACCCAATTTTCGAGGTTTGGCACCACCAGCTCTCCAGCTGGTTTACTCCAGGAAGTGCCGGCGGGAACCCATCCGGGACCGACTGGACCGTCGGATGTCGAATTTGGAATCCCGGCATTTCTGGCAGACGTAAACCTCGGGAACGTTGGATTTGCGGATTTTGGCACAGGACAGGTGGATCCAGGTGTGGCATTCTTTGCATTCGATCATGGGCCGCCCGGCGAAAGGTTTCATGCAGAAGCAGGTGACCAGATCCCACGAGTCGTCATCTGCCAACGTCCAGGAAAAAAGGGGGGGGTTCAGTGGAAGAGAATTTCCAGGAGCATCAAAAAAAGTGGGAAACTTTAGGGGATTAAATTGCTTTTCAGTTCTAGAGTGAGCAAAATTCAGTGCCACCCGATTGGCATCTGTTTCTCTGCTTTTGGCATATTAATTTATTTATTATCCCGCGTTTATTATTTCCATAAATATTTCAGGGCGGCAGACGTACCCAATAGTCCTCCCTCTTCCTATTTTCCTCCCAACAACAACCTTTTGAGGTAGGTTAAGCTGAGAGAGAGGGACTGGTCCAAGGTCACCCAATTGGCTTTCATGCCTATGGCAGGATTAGAACTCACCGTCTCCAGGTTTCCAGCCTTGTTCCAAATGACATCACTTTACTTCCTTCTCCGCATCACCCACCTCCTGTACGGCAGCATTTCTTAACCTTCAACATGCACGGACTTCAACTCCCAGAATTCCTCAGGCAGCCTGGAGAATTCTGGGAGTCGAAGTCCACGGGTACCGGCTGGGGAATTCTGGGGAATTCAAATCGACCCATCTTAAAAACCACCAAGATTGAGAAACGCTGCCGAGGAGATACCCCGTCTTCCAAGGGCCTGGTAACCCCACTGACCCCTCTCCTCTCCCGCTCCCCGCCATCTTCATCCGGGGCTCCGAGGGCGAGAGGTTCCCACAAGGGTTACCTGAATCTACCATGATGTCCTCATCGTCTCCGCTGCCGTCCTCGTCCCGGAAGACCACCTGTTTCCCTTGCCGTATGATGGTCCTCTTGCCCACCGTTTGGACGAGACTCTGCTCCTCCGGCGCGGCGGCTGGGTAGGGGGGATTCGACGGAGTGTCCGAATCCCAGGCCGAGCCGCGGCCTGTGGAAGACTGGGCATCCCCTTCGGAGGACGGGCTGAGCGGGGTCTCGGCGTACGGCTCTTCTCCTTCTCTCTCCCGCAGACCTTCCTCTTCTTCGTCTTCTTCGGGATATTTGACGTCCGGCAGCACCGCATCCTTCCTCACAAGCCGCCGTTTCTTCCGGAACTTCTCCATTTTATTCCGGTCCACCAAAAATCCGTTGGGCTTTGTCCACTGATAGAGCGAGGAGTAAGCCTTGCCATGTTTGAGTTGGCTGAAGCTCTTCCGGGCTTTTGAGAGGTGTCCCAAAGGGGGGTCCCCTCCATCGCTGTCAATGGCCTCCCGGGTACTGTTGGGGGAACTGGCGCTGCTCCAACCGGATGTATCCTGCAAGCACGGGAAAACTCTTTAAAACAGCCACATCGAGTTATTTTCTTTAGAAACTGCTATGGATCAAGGCGGCCTGGAAATTTGAGGGGGGGGGGGGAAGGGGAGAAAAGCACCTCCTGTTTGCAGCTCTTTAAAGCTGCCAGAGCATTTCCAAGGATGTGGGAGGAGTCATCAAGGATGGCTGTGTGATTGCAGGAAAGATGCAGTGGCTTTAAAGAGTTTCCAACCGTAGCTCTTTCCTTCCCCCGTCTCCTGCTCTGTTTCTGGATATTTTCTCCAGTACCACAAGGATCCTCTCGGCAGCATTTGCAGAAAAGATGTGGCAACTTTAATGAGTTCCAGACTTGGCCCACATTTCTCCCATCCCCAGCCCATTTCTGGATCTTTTCTCAAGCACCACAAGGGATCCTGAGAAAAAGTTCCTTAGTGGCTGTGCAATTCGAAGGAAATTGCACAGGAGAGATATGGCTGCTTTAAACAGTTCCAATTGTGTCCCACATTTCCTTTCCTCTCGCCCCGCCCTGTTTCTGCATCTTTTCAAAAGCCCTACAAAGATCCCGGGGAACAGCCACACTTGGTGGCTGTGCATTTGCAGACGATGCAATGGCAGAAAAGACACGGCAACTTTAAAGAGTGCCAGCCATGGCCCAGTTTCCTCACTACCATCCATTTCTGCATCTTTTCTCATATACCACAAGGATCCCGGGTTGTGTGTGTGTGGGGGGGGGGAACAACCACTCTTTGTGGCTGTCCAATTGCAGAAAAGACATGGCAGCTTTAATGAGTCCAGCTGTGACCCACATCCACTTCTCCCCCCCCCCACCATTTCTGCATGTTTTCTCAAATCCCTAACAAGGGTCCTGACAAACAGCCCCTCTTCATGGCTGTGCTGTTGCAAAGAAAATGCAAAGGCACAAAACATGCAGCTGCTTTCAAGAGGGCCAGCCATGCCCCAAGTTCCTACCCACACGCCTACATCTTTTCTCATATACCACAAGGGACTGGGGTGGGGTGGGGTGAACAGCCACAGAGAGTGGCTGTCCAATTGAAGAAAAGATGTGGCAGCTTTAATGAGTCTGGCTGTGGCCCACATTCCCTCTCCTTCCCCGGGGAGGGGACAGCATTTCTGCATCAATCCCTACAAGGGTCCTGGCAAAGAACCACTCTTCGTGGCCCTGCCCTTTTGCAAGCAAGATTCAGCTGCCGTCACAAAAGACGCAGCTGCTTTCAGGAGTGCCAGCCGTGCCCCCAAGTTCCCATCCACCCTTCTGAATCTTTTCTCCTCCGCTGCAAGAGTGGGGAGAAGGGAAACAGCCGCTCTCGGCGGCCGTGCAGCGGCACAAAAAGATGGGACAGCCGAAAAAGACGCGGCTGCTTTAAAGAGCTCCCACCATCCCTTTACAGCCCCAACTGGTTTTCCAGGGAGGGGAAGCCGATCTTTGTCCCTTTGCAGTTCGAGACAAAGCCTCCCAAACCGGGGCTTCAACCCCCCCACCCCAAATTCTCCTCTAGCCCCCCCCCAACCTTCCCGTCCCCCCATCAGCTATTCGAAGGACAAGACACCCGATGAAAATGCCCAGGGTAGCTTCCCCCACTCCCGGAGCCAGGGCTTTGCAAGACCCCCACTCTTTCCCAGCTACCCCAAAACCCCCTCCCCACCCCGAATTAAAAAGCCCCCCACCCACCCACCTCGTGCGGGTATGGGATGTACCCCGCGTAGGCCAGGACAAAGGTGCAAAAGTTGTTGAAATCTTCCACCGTCCGGCAGCGCTTGGAGCCCGGAGCAAAATCCTGCGAAAAGAGAGGCGGGGAGGGGGCGGGGATGATTTGAGGGGGGGGCGGGGGGGGCGGTGGTCAGTGCGCGGCGGGCGAGGAAAGGCGCAGGGGAGGGAGGAGGAGGGGGCGGTGGAGTGGTGGTGGGGGGATCCTTTCCCCCCCGAAGGGAGGGAGGGGGCTTTGCGCTTTGCAATGCCCGCGGGTGGGGAGGGGGCCGCTTTGCAAGCAGGAGGAGCCCCCCTCCCCACCCACGGAAGGAAGAAATCGGGGCGGGGGGCGTCAAGCTAACCCGGGACCCTCTCAAAAGGGACGGTGCAATTGCAACCTGCACCCACCCACCCACCAACCGATCAAGCCTGGGGAGGGGAGGGTCTCAATGCCCCCCCCATTCTCAAAGCCTGCAATCAAAGGGGGGGCTTGGGGGGGGCGCAGAAAAGCGAAAAAGCTGCCCCGGGGGAGGGGGCGAGAAAGGGGGGACCCTCTCCTCCCCATGCAAGCGCCCCCTCCCCGTTGCATTCCAGCAAATCTGCCCGTGGGGGGGGGTCCCTTTTGCAGCAGGGGGGGCTGATTGCTCCCACTCCCCCCCATCTCCGTGGGCGTGGCCAGGGGTGCCCAGTGTCAGACCCCCGGGAAGGGGGATGCCCCGGTTTTTTTGGGGGGAGGGGGACACGACTCACTTCGGGGGGCGGCGGGGAAGCGCAGGAGTCCGAGTCCATGGCGGGGGTCTCCTCCGGCGGCGTCGCCCGGTACCGGCAGCGGGGTCTGGGGTGGGCGGGGAGAGGGGGAGCCCCGCCCTGCCAGGCTAAGGGGGAGACTTGCCCCCCCCTCCGCCCGTCCTGGGCTCCGCCTCTATTCGCAGCTGGTGCGTCTGCGCGGCGCGCCAGGCCTGCCGGGAATCGTAGTTCGTAAACTCAACTCCCCAGTGGGCGCATGCGCATCGCCGGAGAGGCGTGGTCCACGGGCAGGGCATGCCGGAGAACGTAGTCCCAAGCCTCCACTAGGCTTTACCAGCAGTTCCCCCTTTGCTAAAATGGAGCAAAGATTTTTATTTTTTTAATTTAATTGTTTAATTTAATTTTCCCTTGGGGTTTCTTCGTCGATTAGGGCTCTTTTCCGGATCCTGCACCCGAAGCCGAGGGGATGCGATGGGCGAAAGGGGGGAGGATGTTCCTCCTCCCCCCCCCCCCCATGAGGACTAGAAACTTGCCTTCTTGGCACCTTCCTCTTAAAATGAATGGTGCTCATTTGCATTTCAAGCCCGGGTGCTCAGCAGCAAAGAAAGGAGAGATGATGGGCCATAGCTTGGGAGAAAGAGCTGATTTCCCCAAAGAGGAGAATGGAAGGATTGACACCTTTTGTCTTGCTTTGAGTTTCTTGCTTTTGTGTGTCTGTGTGTGTGTGTGTCTGAAGTTGGAGGGGTTTGGCCTCCAGTGCATCACCTGGGATCCTTGGGAGGGGGGGGAGGGAGGGGGGGTGTTATAACCTGGTCCATCCGCATTTCTTTGGGGTGCCCTGGACAAGATTTAACAATCTCCACAAATTTGCCTCTGTTGCAAACGCCCAACTCTGGGGGTCAAAAGCTTTTCCCCTCGAACGGATTCCGAAGCAATTTTACCGGCAGTCCTCGACTTACGACCACAACCGAACCCCCGGATTTCCTGTTGCTAAAGCGAGACAGCGGTGAAGGGAAGCTCCGTCCCACTTTGCCACGGATGTTGTCGGCGAATCCCTGCCATTGTTAAGCGTCACGACGGTTGTTAAGCGAATCCAGCTTCCCTCCTTGACTTCGCTCGTCAGAGGGTCACAAAAGGAGGGGAGCGGGGGGAAATCCCCTGACTCCGGGACACGGGGAACCGTCATAAGTACATGCCGGATGCCAAGCCCCTGACCCACGGGGATGCCGCAAATGGTCGTAAGTGTGAAAAACGGTCACGAGATGCTTTTTTTCAGTGCCTTTGTAACTTCGAATGGTGAACTGTTTGTAAGCCGCGTGGACTACCTGTATTAAATTTCCGTTCTGGCTTTGTTCGGTGTAAACAACTTCAGAAGGACACGAACAGGTGAGGCTGGGAAAGAAGAGCCCAGAAGCAACCTCCGAAGTCAGAAATGTCAGGGACCACCCAAAATAACAGCTCTGCCTCTGTCCTTGAACCTGGTCTCACCGGGAGTCCCCAGATCCCCTTCAAGGATCAGGAATCACCAACAGTACTAGTAGTAGTATTCCTTCCTTCCTTCCTTCCTTCCTTCCTTCCTTTCCTTCCTTCCTTTCCTTCCTTCCTTCCTTCTTTTTCTTCTTCTTCATCTCTTCTCTTCCTCCTTCTCCTTCCCTCATCTACAAATGCAAATAATCTCCTCCTCTTCCTCCTTTCCTCCCTCCCTCCCTCCTTCTTCATTATTATTATTGCTGTTGTAATTGCTTTATTCTAAAAAGTAAAAAAAACAAAACAAAAAAACAGAATGGAATTAATGCAGAAGAAGCTTCATACAGTTAGTCCTCGACTTAGAACCACTCTCTTAGTGACCGTTCAGACTTCCAGCGAAAAAGGGGCGCCTGAACATTTTTCAACCCTAGCAACAACAATAAAGAAAAAAGTAATAATCTAGAAAGAGAAGAGGAGAGTCTTGAGTTCCAGTTCGCCGCAGCTTTTAATCGTAGCCTCTAAAAGGGGCTTGAAAAATAATTGGGGGGGGGAATTGAATTGATGCAGAAAAAGCTTCATGCAGATCTATCCATTTGTGTAGTGACGGTTTGGAGTTACAATGAAAAATGGGATTTAGAATGTTTTCCCACACTTACGACCGGTCCCAGCATCCCCGTGTGGTCGCGTGATCAAAATTCAGACTCTCGGCAACTGACTCGTACTTACGACGGTGGCAGTGTCCCCGGGGGGGGTCATGTGATCCCCTTCTGACGAGCAAAGTCAAAGGGTGGGGAAGCCAGGTTCACTTAACAACCTGCACGGATTCACTTAACGACTGTGGCAAGAAAGGGCGTAAAACGGGGCAAACCCCACTAAACGACCGTCTCATTTAAGCAACAGAAATTCCTTTGAACTCCATTGTGGTCTTAAAACAACCTTTCTTAGCAGTTGGCACCAAGCTGGCACACAGCTTCCCTTCCCCTCCCCTCCCCCAATCTCAGAGGGGGGGTGGTGTTGTTGACAGCTTGGATGCCTCCTTGCCTAAGTGCCACGTTGGCACCGGGATGAAGTCACGGGGCGAGCCAAGGCCTCGTTCCCCAACCGGGCGCCCACTTTACAAGAACTTTTGGGGACGGCCCCACTTAAATCAGCGCAGGAGAGGGAGGGAGCGGTGTGTGTGTGTGGGAAAGATCTGTGCAGCCCCCTCCCCAGTCCTCCCCCCCAAAAAAGCCAGCGGGACTCAACTGACGGCTCCTCCATCCCCAAGCGGGCACCCCCAAAAAAAACCCCCATTGCGCTTTGCAAGAATTAATCAGCGCTGTGGATGATGGATAGGTGGGTGGGTGAGAAATCCCCGCAGGGCAGCCAACCCCCTCCCCAAGAGACCCCCTCTCCCCTCCCATTCCCCAACAGGGAAAAAGCCCGCTTTGCAAGAACTTTCGGGGACGGCCCCGCTTAAATCAGCGCAGGAGAGGGAGGGGGGAGGAAAGATCCGTGCAATCCCCTCCCCAGCCCTCCCCCCCCAAAAAAAGCCAGCGGCTCCTCCATCTCCAAGCGGGCGCCCGCAAAAAAAACCCCAACCCACTGCGCTTTGCAAGAATTAATCAGAGCTGGGGATGATGGGTGGGTGGATGCTGGGTGGGAAATCCTCGCAGGGCAGCCTAGGGACGGAGGGGAAGAAGGCCCCTCCCAGGAGGGCGGTCCGGTTGCGCGACCCGAGCCCCCTCCCCTCCCCTCCCCTGCGCGCTCAGTCCGGCCCTTCCCAGCCATGGAGGCGGAAGCGGCGCACGGCGCGGCTCTCCTGCGCGGCCTGGCTTCGCTGCGCTCGGAGCGGGCTCTGCTGGACGTGACGCTGCTGGCCGGCACGGGCGAGGAATTCGGGGCGCACCGGGCGGTGCTGGCGGCGGCTTCGGGCTACTTCCGAGCCATGTTCGGCGGCGGCTTGCGGGAAGCCCGCGCCTCGCGGGTGAAGCTGCACGGGGTGGAGCCGGACTGCCTGGCGCTGCTGCTGGACTTCGCCTACAGCGGCCGGCTGGGCGCCCTGAGCGGCGAGGAGCCTCAGCTGGCCGAGCGGCTCCTGCGCGCGGCCGACCTGCTGCAGTTCCCGGCCGTCAAAGCCGCCTGCGGAGCCTGGCTGGCCGCCCGCCTGGAGCCCTCGGCCGCCCTGGACATGCAGGACTTCGGCGAGACCTTCGCTTGCGCGCCGCTGGCCGAAGCCGCCCGCCGCTGCGTCCTGCGCCACGCCGCCGAGCCCGCCGGGGAGCTGGGCGCCCAGCTGGAGAGCGTCCCCTTGGCCAGGCTGGTCTCCTACCTGCGCGAGGACGCGCTGCGCGTCCCCAAGGAAGAAGCCGCCTTCGCCCTGGCCCTGCGCTGGGTGCGCGCGGAGCCCGGATCGCGCGCAGGGCTCCTGCCCCAGCTGCTGGCCCACGTGCGCCTGCCTTTCGTCCGGCGCTTCGCCCTGCTGGCCCAGGTGGAAGGCGAGCCGCTGGTGGCGCGATCCTCGGCTTGCCTGCGCCTGGTGGCCGAAGCCAGGCTCTTCCAAGCCGGCCGCTTGGATCGCCACGAGAGAGCGCCCTGCGCCCGCCTGCGCCCGCGCCCTTCCACGGGCTTGGCCGAGCTGCTGGTGGTGCTGGGCGGATGCGACCGCGATTGCGACGAGCTGGTCATCGTGGATGGCTTCAACCCGCGCACGGGACACTGGCGCTACCTGGCCGAGTTCCCCGAGCACCTGGGAGGAGGCTACAGCGCTGTGGCCCTGGGCAACGATGTCTACGTCACCGGTGAGTAGACCCCGCGGCGCTCTTCTTGCGCCGGTTGGGTGGGTTAGGATCGCCCCTGCGCCGGGTGGGGTTTTGAAAGTGGAAGGGACGGGGGAGGCTTTCCTTGAACCAGAGGGGAAACCAGGAGTTGTAGTTCGGCCAGCTGTGTGACTTTGAACCCGTCAACAGGAGTCAGTGAGTTCTAGTTCGGTAATAGGCAGAAAAGCCAGCTGGGTGACTTTGGCCCAGTCACTGGAGACAGGGAGGTCTAGTTTGGTAATAGGCAGGCAAGCGGGTGGGTGACTTTGAACCCGTCACCAGGAGTCAGTGAGTTCTAGTTTGGTAATCGGCAGGAAAGCAGCTGGGTGACTTTGGCCAAGTCACTGGGAGACAGGGAGGTCTAGTTTGGTAATAGGCAGGAAAGCCAGCTGGGTGACTTTGGCCAAGTCACTGGGAGACAGGGAGGTCTAGTTTGGTAATAGGCAGGAAAGCCAGCTGGGTGACTTTGGCCAAGTCACTGGGAGACAGAGAGTTCTAGTCCCTTCCTTAGGCAGGAAAACCAGCTGGGTGACTTTGGCCCAGTCACTGGGAGTCAGTGAGTTCTAGTCCCACCTTAGGCAGGAAAGCCAGCTGGGTGACTTTGGCCCAGTCACTGGGAGACGGAGTTCTAGTCCCACCTTGGGTAGGAAAGCCAGCTGAGTGACTTTGAATCCATCACCAGGAGTCAGTGAGTTCTAGTTCGGTAATAGGCCAGAAAGCCGGGTGGCCCAGTCACTGGGAGTCAGTGAGTTCTAGTTCCACCTTAGGCATGGAAGCTACCTAAGGTGGGACTAGAACTCACCGACTCCCAGCTGGCTTTCCTGCCTAAAGTGGAACTAGAAACTCCCCATTTACCAGCCATATTTTAATGC